CAAATTCCTCATGTAAATAATTCAGGAAAATTATCCTGAAGAGTATATGGACAAGTAAAAGAAGTGGACGAATCCGCTTGGATTAACAAACTATGTCTCGGAATGTATACTTAGAGCGACCGCGCTCTTTACGTTGTGGAGATTCTTTTTAGCGAACAACCAAGCAAGACTGAGCAAACAGATGCACCTATTTCGTAAATATGAAGAACTTGTTTATTAAATGGAACACATTGATTTTAATACATCTCAACCAGACCAGCGTAGACCGATCAAACGGGACGACTCGTACGTAATTTTCGTAAGGTAAGAAAATTTGGAGTGAAAAAATACACGTTTTCAAGTCACTTAGGGAAAAGTTGAAGTGAAATACATAATGTTATGTGCACTTATGTGCGACATGTTCATCGCCTATATTCACCATCTATATTAGGCAGCTTTAGAATGCGGCGTGTACTGACACTTGGAAATAAGTCAAATTATTCATATTACTTATCAGGTAAATGATTTATAAAAACTACGGCGTCTCTTATTTGAACTTTGATAGATAACTTGCCATTTTAAAATCTCGTACGTCAGAAACCCGGCGGGTTTAGTGGATACACTAATCGCATGAAGTCACGCGACAGACGACACTCTTTAAGGAGCTCCCGCGTTCTAATGTCGTCTGTTTCTATGCTTTAAATACCTGCTATTTAGTAAGCGCACATTAGTTCAAATAAACAAAAGGCATGCACTAGACCAGCCACCAGGCTTGAGCAAGGTATGATTTACACATGCAATGTTGTCTCTTGGGTTTTTTATCGCCCCGAAATAGACTCCGTCGTGGAATCGTCTATTATTTCTGACACAGGAAACTCAGTGTCACCGTTCACCATTCGCACACAATGATCTAAGCCAGGCTAGTGTACGTAGTAACAGGGGGAGTGTTTGGTTGATTGCCGTGTATTGTGTGGGGGAAGAAGAGATGAGGAATAAGGCTTGGTTGTAAATTTGGGAGCAACGTAATAGTCAACTGGAGATAGTAATTGTTCACAGTGCAGGATCCACCCTCTCAGTTGCAGTTGGCTCGATGTCCTTGACTGCACCACAAAAAGAAACATTCTCAGGACTCCAATTTCCCAAGTTCCGTCTCACCATTTCTAGAAAAAACAGTCCTGCCTGCTGTTACAGCAAAGTACATTTAGGATGGGTCGGTACGATTTTGCCCAGGCAGTAAACCTTTAAACTATAGACGTTTCAGAAGTTTTCCATCCAGATAATCTACATGAGTTTTTCCGTCACATGACTCCCTTTCGGGATTTTTTGTACTGGTATCAAATTCCAACCATCTTCCAAAGATTTAGAGCCAAAGTTCTCCGGCTTGGCGGCATATCTGTGTGATAAAGAGGAGCAAAACCATATGTCATTCACCGAAAGAAGGACATAAAACCAAAATCGGGCAAAATATTACTGGTCAGGAAAAAACTTCTGTACTTTAAATGGCCAAGCAAGACGGATATGCCCAAAGCAAAAGAACAGCAAACGACAATTTTTCGGACAGATCTGCCCTGCAAACTCACGTACGATTAAGTGCATGATGAGTAAGGTTAGGTTTTGTGGAGCATTTTTGTCCCGCCATGAAGACAAAACCACTCCTAAAAAGCTAATGCTTATGCCTCCAAGACGGCAACTTTGGCGTTCAAATAATGTGCTCTGGATAGTCGTGATTTGTTCCCTCCAAAAATGATGGTAGATACGAGTTGACAATACATACCATGTCCCTTAGGGGAAACAAAATTGGGAATACCAATGGCGCTATCGGGGTGTTCTGCAACAGTGGGATTCGAACAGGCGGATTAGAGCATACTACGGTGTGGAGGACAACCAAATCCATTAACCGAGCAAATTTAGGTTTCTACTAGATAAATGGTCGAATTATGCTACCAGAAATTTATGAACACACCAAAGACTTCCCGGACGTTATAGCAGCAGTCAGACAAATTATGCTAAGACAACAGTTTCCGGATTACAGATTTTTAAGAGGAATACAGTAGACTGTCGCTTTGAGGGAAAAACTATGCACTTAGACGGGCTCTGACCGTGTCAGCAATTGCCACCAAGTTTTTCCCTAGCAATTAATCAAAATGGGTGAACATCAGGGTCTCTGGTTCACTGGGTCTCCGTAGATTTACCATAAGGATGGTTTTACTGGGCGCTCATGAGAGTTTTGTCAGTGCGATACCGTTCGCAAAAAGTCAAGCCGAACAAAAATATGCACAATTGCTACCTAAGACTTATAATAATAATAGTAATAAGGATGACGATGATGGGAATGGTATTCATACTGAATGTTTGGTTCCTGGCCTTTCTAAAAGATAGGGAAAATATTAAGCTAAAACTAACCGAGTCCTAAGTACATGTGCAGGAATACACGTGCGCTTGCGATTCCTTTGCTGGAATAATATAACAAAGTATTAAGTGTGCTGGAATTGAAAGGATTTTAATGATAACTGACATGGGTGCAACTTTCCACACGACTGAAAAAAGGAGCCTCAGGGACTTAGGACCCCACCTCCAAATTACATTATGCGCCCGCGTGTGGTTTCGTTTAGTTTAATCGCTGTTTGAAAACTTGGGTTTTTTCAGACCATTCACCGTATCCTCCACATAATTTCGTGTTGTACTGTCGGAAGTGGTGTAGTCGACAAGATAAAGATTCCCAATCAAAAGTCAGGGAAGACGGTTTGAGTTGGACAAACTTTACTGCTTGGAAAGCGTGTAGACAAAGGCTGTGTGGGCAGTCGCCGCAAGCGCGCTCCAAGCAAGCTGTTGTCTGCGTCAGCCCTCGAGGTGTTGTGTCCGCGTGTGTGTGCGCCCTTCGTTGTCTCAACCTCGCCAGCCAATCAGAGTGGGGACAGCGTTGATTGGCTTCGAGCACTCGCGCGGCCCAGCAGCGTGTCGACATGGAGTGTGAGGCGGACAGGACGGCAGCATGACAAGGCGGAGGGTAAGGAGACGCGAACTGCTACAGTACCCCCCGGCTAGACCGAAGGTGGCGCGTAGCGATACCGAAGGAACTGTTGATGTCTAAAAAACATGAGTAACGAAACGGTCAGGAAAGTGAACATGGCGTCCACTACGGGTGATATATACAGGGGGCACAGGAGTAGAGTGAGTATGGCTCGCGGTTACAGTGTTGCTGGTTGATGAAGTAGTAGTTGGAGTTGTGGATTGCGGACATGGGGGCAGAGGCGCCAGACTATCTTGCCTTCCCCTACCTGTTCCTCATTCTTGAACTTACTGGTTGTTTAACTGAATGGAATGAACACAACTCGACGCGACGCGCTTGGCATGAGTGGGATTGTCAGGTCGTTTGACTTTTGATTATTAATTCTTCCATAACTCTGGTCTTATCCTGATTTTTATAGTCTGGGATTGACGGTTCTATCTTTAACGCTCGCGACAGTGGTGACCCTTTGACGTTCACGCTTATACCTTCAATTAGTCGACTTCCAATTTGCATACCGCCCGTTTGCCTTCTTTCTTTCTACAATCATGTCCTCTACGAATTCCAATGATCCCAATTCTTCTCTCAGTGGACTTGTTTCTTCCCTCCCAGACTTTTGGCAACATGCGCCAGAACTTTATTTTTTCCGTATTGAGGCGACCTTTCACTCCGCCAAGATTACACGTGAAACCGACAAGTTTTATAAGCTGGTCGAGGCCCTCCCTCCCACCATTCTTTCTCAAGTGCAGACGCTTCTGAGAGATCCCCCGACCGATGCTCCTTACACCAAGTTAAAGGCTGAACTTCTTCGCCTGACATCAGTCTCCGATAGGCAGCGTTATCACGCACTAGTAAAAGAGGAGGCCTTAGGTGATCGCAAGCCGTCGGAACTCTTGCGTCGCATGCGTTCTCTGGTTGGGAACATGAAAATCAACGACAAGTTCTTTAAAGAGATGTTCTTAGAACGTCTGCCGACGTCTGTACAAACAATCTTGGCCTCTGGCTCCGACGACCTAGAAATATCAAAGTTAGCGGAGATGGCTGACCGTATGATGGAGGTTGAGCGTTTGTCATCCCCGACGATTGCTCAGGTGTCTCAGCCTCTCAACGTGTCCACGTCTGACCTTGCTGAACTAAAGACGCAGATTGCCCAGTTGTCAGCGACTGTTGCCGCTTTGCAGCTGCGCCGATTCCCCGGTCCCTCTCGACGTTCCTTCGGTCGTGACCGTCGTCGTTCCCGCTCTCGCCCCAGGACCGCCAACCTATGTTGGTATCATGTCAACTATGGCGATAAGGCGCGGCGCTGTGTCCCACACTGCTCCTTCAAGTCCCCGCAGGGAAACTCCTCGGCCGGAGAGTAAATGCGGCCGAGCTCTCTGGCAACTCTACGGGTCGCACATTTTACGTGAGTGATAACACGAGTGGCAGGCATTTTTTAGTCGACACTGGCGCTCAGATTAGTGTTATCCCTCCCACGCCAGCCGACCGACGTTGCCCAAACCACGGTCTTTACCTTCAGGCCGTAAACTCATCCCCCATTACAACCTTTGGATTTCGATCCCTCTCCCTGGATATCGGCCTCCGGCGATTATTCCCCTGGATATTTGTGGTTGCTGATGTTCCCACTGCTATCCTTGGTGCTGATTTTTTAGCCGCCTTTGACCTTCTGGTGGATTGCAGACAACTTCGCCTCCATGATCGCGCAACTACCCTCACTGTCAAAGGATTTCCTCCATCCTCAGTTTCTAACCAGCTCTCCGTCCTTGACCCAAACCCTGACTGTCCATTTCGTAGACTTTTAGCAAAATATCCTCCCCTCACTAAGCCCCATTTTTCTGACACCTCATTTCCCCATGATATTGTTCATCACATAAAAACGACTGGTCCTCCCGTTTTTTCTCGTCCCCGCCGTCTTGCTCCCGCGCGTCTTGCGGCTGCTAAAGCAGAATTTGACCACATGCTGCAACTAGGGATTATTCGACAGTCTGACAGTCCCTGGGCATCTCCTTTGCACATGGTTCCTAAACCAAATACGGATGATTGGCGTCCTTGTGGCGATTATAGAGCCCTAAACAATATCACTATGCCCGATCGGTACCCCGTTCCTCATCTTCAGGACTTTGCTGGAGCCCTTTCCGGCAAAACCATTTTCTCGAAGATCGATTTGGTGCGGGCTTTTCATCAAATTCCGATTGCGGCTGAGGACATTCCCAAAACGGCAGTGACGACTCCTTTTGGCTTGTTTGAGTTCCTTCGTATGCCATTTGGTCTCCGAAATGCCTCACAAACTTTCCAACGTTTCATTGACCGTGTTTTACGTGGCCTTCCATTTGTTTATGCGTATATTGATGATGTTCTCGTCGCCAGTCGAGATGTGGAGGAACATCTCCATCACCTTACCCTGCTTTTCGACCGATTTCAGCAGTTTGGTGTCACCCTGCATCCTTCAAAATGTGTCCTAGGAGCCACTTCTCTTGAGTTCTTAGGTCACCTGATAGACTCGAACGGCATTCGGCCTCTTCCCTCAAAAGTTGCCGCCATTCGGGACTTTCCACCCCCTACCTCGAAGCGTCAGTTGCAACGGTTTCTTGGTATGGTGAACTTTTATCGCCGGTTTCTCCCGAACTGTGCCGATACCATCCTACCTCTGACCAATCTCCTCTCAGGTCTCAAACGCACCTTTGAACTTACATCAGCCGCACTCACGTCATTTGAGCAGGTAAAAGACCTTCTGGCTGACGCCACCCACCTGACTCACTTTCACGCTGATGCACCTATATCTTTGATGGTCGATGCCTCCAATGTTGCTGTTGGCGCGGTTCTTCAACAAAGTCTGCCGGATTCTACCGTGCCTTTGGCTTTCTTCTCCAAGAAACTATCCAAAGCAGAAACCCGCTACAGCACATTCGGACGTGAACTTCTCGCCGCTTATCTTGCCGTAAGGCACTTCCGGCATTTACTCGAAGGTCGAGAGTTCACAATTTTCACTGATCATAAGCCACTCACGTTTGCAATACATTCCCATTCTGACAAGCTAAGCCCCCGGGAGATCCGTCACCTGGACTACATTTCGCAGTTCACTTCAGACATCCGCCATATTGACGTGTCAAGGAATGAGGTGGCTGACGCACTGTCCAGGCCCTCTATTGCTCATCTTCAGCTTTCACCCGGGATAGACCTCGCTGAAATGGCCGCTGAACAACGCCGTGTCGGTCCACCCAGTGATGAGGATGTTTCCGGACTCCAACTTCGTGAACTACCACTGACAACTGGCAACGGCACCATCTTATGCGACGTATCCACCCCTTCCCATCGTCCATTTGTGCCTCCATCTCTCCGCCGCAAAGTTTTCTCCTCCCTGCACAATCTCTCTCACCCTGGGAGTCGAGCAACCGACAAGCTGGTTTCTGACCGCTTCGTCTGGCCTGGTATGCACAAGGACCTGAAGGCATGGACACGGGCTTGCATTGCCTGTCAACGGAGCAAGATCCAGCGGCACAACAAGGCCCCCATTGGTACCTTCCCCGGCCCTGGTGCAAGGTTCAGCCACGTTCACCTGGACATTGTAGGCCCCCTGCCTCTGTCCAATGGTTGTTCCTATCTCCTCACCTGTGTGGATCGGTTCACTCGGTGGCCTGAAGCAATTCCCCTGCCTGACATTGCTGCTCCAACGGTGGTCAAGGATTTTCTCAGTCGTTGGGTTGCTATCTTTGGTGCACCCTCCACAATCACGACTGACCGTGGTGCCCAATTTGAGTCTAACCTCTTCCAGTCTTTACTCTGTTAGGGGGCGCTCACCGATCGTTCATACGGAACTCACTCGTTCCGTTGTGCCTTATGGACTCTCTCTCGAGCCCAACCAGCAGCCGCACAGCGGCGCATGATAAATAGGCAGAATAGTATTACCGACAAAGACAAGGGAGACTGGAATGGCCATTTCTGGCTTATTAGCCGTCGTCAGCCAGCCATACCCAAGCCCGAAGTGTGGACCATCCGAGCCTCGAACTCGCGACCTGTTGGTTTAGAAGTCAACGCCTCTACTCACCGGGCCACGAGCCCGTTGTCTTTGTCGGTAATACTATTCTGCCTATATATCATGCGCCGCTGTGCGGCTGCTGGTTGGGCTCGAGAGAGAGTCCATAAGGCACAACGGAACGAGTGAGTTCCGTATGAACGATCGGTGAGCGCCCCCTAACATTGTATATTCCCGATCGAAAACCGACAAGGCAACGGGCTCGTGGCCCGGTGAGTAGAGGCGTTGACTTCTAAACCAACAGGTCGCGAGTTCGAGGCTCGGATGGTCCACACTTCGGGCTTGGGTATGGCTGGCTGACGACGGCTAATAAGCCAGAAATGGCCATTCCAGTCCCCCTTGTCTTTGTCGGTAATACTATTCAGTCTTTTCTCTCCTTTTTATGCTGTACCCGCATTCGGACGACAGCCTATCACCCGGCTGCTAACGGGATGGTCGAGCGGTTTCACCGCCAGCTGAAGGCTTCCCTACGCGCCGCGGCCGATCCAGAGAACTGGACGGACCACCTTCCCCTGGTCCTCTTGGGCATCCGCTCCGCTCTCAAGCCGGACCTTGATTGTTCGGCAGCTGAACTGGTGTTCCGTGCCACCGTCCGACTCCCCAGTGAGATGATCTCGCCAAACCCACAAGGTGCGGTTGAGGATCCCACCAACCTCCTGCATCGCCTCCGGCGGTTTATGCGGACACTTTCTCCGGTTTCTCCCAGGTCCTCCGCCTCTCCGTCTTATCTCGAGAAGGGCTTGGCAACGTGCTCTCACGTCTACCTCCGATGTGATCGAGTCCGCCGGCCTCTGGAACCGCCCTATGACGGCCCATTTCGGGTGCTCTCTCGCGGGCCGAAGACTTTCCGCATTCAGCGCGACAATCGTGAAGAGGTCGTGAGTGTGGACCGCCTCAAGGCTGCCGTCCCTGACATTCCTCCGGATGAGCCCTGTGGTCCTCAACCTTCTGCTTCCACCCACGGAGCCTCTATTCCACCGTCCCGTATTTTCCCTCTGCCCTCCTGTCCGCCATATCCGACTGCCACCACCAACTCCAACACATCCGCCACCAGATTTATTCACTCTTCTACGGACCCTGTATATATCACTCGTAGTGGTCGACATGTACACTTTCCTGATCGGTTGGTCACGCATTTCTTTTAGACCTGTACACATCCTTCGGCGTCGTTTTTCGCCGGCCTCCGGTCTCGGAGGGGGGTACTGTGCCGAGGCGCCAGACTATCTTGCCTTTCCCTACCTGTTCCTTATTCTTGAACTTACTGGTTGTTTAACTGAATGGAATGAACACAACTCGACGCGACGCGCTTGGCATGAGTGGGATTGTCAGGTCGTTTGACTTTTGATTATTAATTCTTCCATAACTCTGGTCTTATCCTGATTTTTATAGTCTGGGATTGACGGTTCTATCTTTAACGCTCTCGACACTACTACAGCCGTCTCGCAGACTAGTAATCGGAGTCGCATTGACGAGCGCGTTCTTAACCGCTGCATCAAGCACGCTGCTAGCTCTCGCCAGGACTCCGCAATGACCATCATGATGATGCTTTGTTCTTACCCGCAGAAATGCATTTACAGTTCTATCATGCCCTAGGAAGAATTTTCCATGCTCCCCCATCTCCACCCTCGAAGTAGTTTTTTTTCCCTAAAGTCCATTTCGAGGATGAGGGATCTATAAACTCTCCAACTGCTTTTAACTTGGGCGTTTCTTCACTGCTTCACATATAGCTCACCACCTTTTCTGAAATCTTCCAATCTGGGATTTGCTGACATTATTATCAAAGGTATTGAATGCAAAAGGACAAACGTCGGCGGGCGTAAAAAGTTTCTCTTAGTTTACATGGTACAACTTCTAAATTCTACTGCATATCTGGCAGCTCGCATAGAACATTAGTATCTTCATTTTCCGTATTTTATCGGTTGGTCCAACGTCAAATTTGCTTGGATTGTGCAATTTTGGCGCCTAAAAATATGAATGTTAGTATTGTTAAATTATGGAATGTACTGTTCTACTCTCGCAATCATCTGGACATTTAAAACGTCCCATTCCAAACACAATTTAGTCGAGTAGAGAGGAAGGTATGGTTAAATCCAGAACATACAAGAGATGAATACTATTTCCCGCAAGTAGGAGGAGCTCGTCGCTAGCGAATCGCATTACTGTAGGAGACAGAAAAATCGGATTTAATGACCACTAATGAAAGAGGAAAGTCGGCAGCTTTGAAGGTGAGCTGATAGATTAGGATGTGACACGATTATCGAGCCCTCGAATTCCATGGGAACGTTTTTTTGTTAACGTGTTTGGAGTTCTTCGGATGGTTGAAACAGGCAGTAGAGATTTAATACGTCCCACACTAATTGCGCACTTAGGGCACTTTTAAATAGCAGGAAGCTACTTGACGACTCGGTTTAGAGTGAAGTATCGTTTCAGAGAATCGTGAGCATAAACACAAAGAAGAAAACCACCTACATATAAAGTTTTGGGTCATATGAGTGAGTAATTTAGAAGGCGAACACTAAAAAGCCGATTTATTGGTGTGAGACTGTTGTTGCATGAACAAGTGAGCAATTATTATTACAAAACACAAAATAAACACCAGATCCTTGCTCTCAAATCTCAAAACTGAAAGCCTTCCAGCCGGTATCTTTCAGTGCGTGAGATACTAGTAAGAGCGAAATAAGGGCCTACGAGTATAAAACCTCTGGATCACTTTGACTATGCCACGGTCAGGGATATTAATTAACCCGAATAGTAGAAATAACATCTCAGGAACAGGAAGAACAAATACGAAGTGGAGTCGTTGTTAGATTTGCAGTAGAAAAAACGCGGATAAAAGCCATATATCTCAGCGTACTTCGCAGAAAGGCGATCTGCTTGTCCAAATTCCACCTAGGACATCGGTATTGAAGCATCGAAAATCAGATTATTCTGAACGACTACGGGACTGCTAAGTTTAATTAAATTAATTAACATTGTGACCCCACTAATATGCATAAAATCCTCTTGCCACTTTGAATTTTTTTAGGAAAAAGACAAGTTCGAGTTCATTTTTCAATGGAAGAGACGAGCAAACATACTCATGGGCGTCATCATACCCGTCTGGTTGATAACAAGAATATTTTTTTGCTTTGACACTATCTGGTGGACATCAGCATGCAAAACAAGCCATGGTGGAGCTTCGAATCCGAACAGTTCTATTCGCTCACTGGTGATCACTATCTCAAAGCGTTCTATGAAGCCAATAACTCGCCGTCGGCTGGAATGTCGAACAGCAATAGTCATCCACCGTCATTTACTAGCAATTAGACAAGACAAACTTATTGAAATAGGGCAGGGAAAGCCAGTACCTAGAACTTCCTTGTATGCTAAGAGTCGTCTGTACGTTGTCTTTCCTTAAATCGGAATAAATAACAACCACAGACGACTGTTCAAAACAATGAGAGATCGTCATTTTATGAGAAGACAAATAAAAAGTTTTTAGGTTCCTTCCGGAAAAGTGTGCACCGAAAAAAGCTGTGGAATTGTCTAGGCAGAGATGAATCAGAAATACAGTGGAAATTGGTCTTCGAGAGGTTTTGGTGGTGACGATTTTTCATGAGCAGCTTGCTAGTCATTAACGTCGTGTTAAGATTCTGACTTGAAGACTGAAAGTACAGTGAATTCCTTCTATGCCTCTGAGGAAAATCCGCTGGAAAGCAAGACTACAAAAATAAGAATGAGAATAAGTAATCCGTCATCTTCTCAACGGATCGCAGACTCGTGACAGAGCATTGATTTGAGAAGAAGATGGTGGAATACTTGACCCTTAATGAATGACATTTCTCCCCTAAACATACAGCACTTTCTGCTTCACCAAAACGGCCTTAATAATCAGTCCTGATGCATCAGAGTCTGGCATTTCTGATTACGATTCCCGTAAACGCGACAAACGTTCATGCCCGGCGTGTTAAGAGGAAAATGTCCTTTCAGAATACCGTTGAGAATGTGGGCATTTTATTTGCATTAGCTGAGGCGTACTGTATGCATTATGCATGCTTGATTTGAAAGATTAACTAAATAATCGCTATTCGCATGGCAAGGCATTTGTCGCAATTCATACAGTGGACGTTCGCATTGACACGTTTATTCATGTATTTTGGTTTTCCTCGGCATCTATGGGGACTAGTTCCTATTCGCTTTAGTTACTCAGTAAACAAAGTAGTTCCTTATCGTGGTGAGACCTCTCCACTACATCGGACGGTCCGAATGCTAGTGCTTTGATTTGCGTGCGCGTTTCAGGGCTTGTCTGTGGATAGAACATTATACAAAAAATGCCCTAAAATAAGCTGAGGTTGTGCAGCTCACGGGTTAAATTAAAAGCTGGAAGTGAAACAACTGGAGCAAGTTCACCTTTTCCCATCTGTGGGCAATTTTTTTGTGCAGAGGCCCTCGTCATGTACTAGCTTAGTACTGGTTTTGTTAATGTAACAAAGAGCATGTAGAATTTAATGAACCCGTAAAGATTTGTGACCTCTTATTCAACTGCGTGCAATCATTGCATATTAATCAGTTGGAGAGCGGCCTTGAGGGGCAAAACGTGACAGGTAAATAAAACCTGGTCTGTTGGTCTGATATGCGGCTGTGCATTGCGAGAGGGGGCGAAATTACCTAGACAGATAAGTTCATACAATAGTGAAAGCCTATCGAGCGTGACTAAAACTGAAACGCGGGAGACAACAGTCAGAGGACAAAAGAGGGAATAAGGTTACGTCCAT